TTTTCTGTATCGGGCTTTCTGATATTTCGTTTTTCAAATGGCTTTTAAAAATTGGATTTCACATGTAAGATTAAGTTGTAGACAAACAATTTAAAATAATCTGTCATTCTGTGAATGCCTTAAACTTGTTCAGCAATATAAGCTAAACTATTATTTTTATACCCAAGTGTTCCAGAGATTTAACTGGAATAAATGAGACTCTCTGCAGCTGCAAAGAGCTGTTTGCAAAAAGCTATTTGAAGAAACTGGGTCTTACAGAGCAGTTCGGGAAGGATTGCGTGGAATTACGCAAATGAATTCTAATGATGAAATTGCTGTGCTAGCCGGATGCTCTGCCAGCAGGCTGTTGTGTCCTCTGCAATGCATAGGCCATGCCTTGAGGTCTTGGTCTTGAAAAGGTGTACGTGAGTGTGGGCTTAGATCGGCAGGATTGGAGCCAGAAGCTCCAGTCAGGCCAAGGGTGGGCAGGCCTGGCAGAGTGGGGTTTGGGTCAGCAGCTGACAGAGCAGGGTTTGAGACCTGAAATACAAAATCCAGTGTAACGCACCGATGCACATACATGGGAACTGAGTAAGTCACACGAGTCATGCTCCATCATCTGTATCTCTCATCAGTAGATACAGCAAGAGAACTAGACCATGGCCTACCTACATAAGTGCGCTTATCTGTAGAAAATAGATGAATCCGTGTGGGATATCCTCAGTTCTACACAGGTACTCGTGTGAGCGCGTGCATGTTGGTTGCAGGTGTAGTGCTTTAGTCAAGTCAGTGTTAAAAAAGCGGATTTGGGTTCAGGGTGTGATGTCTCAGCGCCTTCCAGTAGCTAGTGTCCGCAGGCGCGCAGACAGGCTCTGCTTCTTCCTCTGCCTCTCGTTTCATGCGTGTCAGGAAATGCGGGTAACTAACATCATATGCAAAGAGATGACAAAAATGTACAAAAAAGGACTAAAATAACTTGTGGTCTAAAATCTTTTATTGAAAAAGGCAGTTACGTAAGACGTATGTTTTTGAATCAGTATAGTATTGTTAGTTGGGGAAAGAAGTAAAATCTGAGTAAGTGACAAAGATGAGGCGGGAGGTGCATATTTCTGTTATCCAGTCATCTTTGGCTTTGGCAATTGCCGTACTGATTTTATTTTTTCTTAATGGTAGCTGAGAAGACAGACATATTGGTATTTTGGACAAGCTGTGCTAAGTGTGATCTTGGCTCTCAATTCAGTTTTAAATGACAGTAGATAGAAAGCTAGTTTGAAATAGCATCTTCGGTATAACACAAATAGATTGTAGTAAAGGAAGCAAAAATGGCAGGTATGTACAGTGCAGATGGGGGTTTTGAAACAACAAATACACTTTGCCTGTATTAAAAAACAAACAAACAAACAAAAAAAAAACCTCCAAAACAAAAAACTCCAAAACAAAACAACAAAACCTGACGACAACAACAACAATAAAACATAACTCCCCCAATCTTTGGTTATCTTTGACTTTATCCCTGGGAAGTTTTTGTTCTATTTTGCTTTTTTTGATCTCCAAGAGAAGGCCGGTAGGCCACTGAGTAACAGTGCATGTGGTGTATATTAGTATACTGTTGGTAATTTTACTGCTGCTAACTTAAAATCCTCAAGGGGGAGTTAATTACAGGAAAACCTTTCTAAATATCAGCTGCATATTTTCTGTGACAAGGTTTTCAACTCATGTTGAACAACTCCAGAATCTGAGTTATCATTATTTGCATGAGCACATTTTGGAAGAAAGTAAAATTTGTGTTTGTACAATGCAGTTAAAGCTTTACAATAATTTATTTTTAAAGGCTTACTTACAAGTGGCTGTTACTGGTTGGGGAGAAAGGATCATGCGTAAATTGCATTTTAATTTTGTATGGCAAGTTAAACTTCCTTTTCTTTGTGGTTTTTGTTTGTTTGGTTTGGGTTTGGGTTTTAGGGGTTTCTTGTTGTTGTTGTTTGGAGTTTTTGTAAGGCCTCAACCAAAACCCCAGGGTATTTGGTGGGTTTGGGGTGGGGTGGGTCGTTTTCTGTTTGTTTGTTTGTGTTTCTTTTTTTTTTTCTTTCACTTAATTGAAAAGTTTATTATTTGCAATTTATGTGCATAGATTTACTTAAACAATTTAAACTTTATATATTGCCACTGGGGAATTACCGCCTTCTGTAAATGTTTGCAGATTAACATATTTTTAAAGTAAGCCAGTGGAACCTCAAACCGGTGGGTCGTTTTCTGTTTGTTTGTTTGTGTTTCTTTTTTTTTTTCTTTCACTTAATTGAAAAGTTTATTATTTGCAATTTATGTGCATAGATTTACTTAAACAATTTAAACTTTATATATTGCCACTGGGGAATTACCGCCTTCTGTAAATGTTTGCAGATTAACATATTTTTAAAGTAAGCCAGTGGAACCTCAAACCGAGTATGGCAGCAATCAGAGCAAGGGAGGAGCCCTGTGCTGAAGTTAGTTGATCCTGATGTGTTGGGTGAATGTTTTTTTCAAGCACGGGCATGCCGTGGGCATTCTCGATCTAATTTTTTTTTTTTTAAGAAACAATATTTTTATTTTCAACTTAAAAAAACCAAACAAACAACATACACACTGATGGCTTTTTTTGGCTTTCACCACAGCAAGTGGTAAACTTACATGTAGAGCGAGCGATCACCTTCTTTTTTCCTCCCCGCCCCCCCCTTTTCTTTTTTTCCTCCCCTTTCTTTTCTTTTTTTTCCCTCACTTTCTTTTTTTTCCCCTCACT